CGTGCGCACGGCACGGCAAACACCGAACAAAACGAAAAGAGCAAGGCAAACTGAATATGAACTGACGAAAAGGAAAACTGTGAAAACTGGCGAAGCAAAACTTTTGCCACAGGCAACAAACAACGAAAAACATGAAGAATAAGATGAATTGAATGCCGGTGAATTCATTCTATAGAACAACAACCATGAACAGAACTATCGTAATAGCACAAGTTGCAACTATAAAATGAAACGAAACCTAACTTTTATTAGGTAAATGAGATACGAAAATATGTATATCATGCATGGCAAGAGTGAGAGGGGGGAGTGAGGGAGGTACGAGAGAGAGAGAGAGAGTGGTCGAATGAAAGCATAATAGCAATTTATTTTTGCAATATAGGGTGGTTAACAATCCAAAAGACAATTGGAAAATGGTTTCTCGATGTTTCTTATCAATATTCCTAATCGTCGAATGTATTTTCATTTGCAAAACCAATCGCAAATTGGCTATTTGGTTTGGATAATCAATTTTATTTTGTACCGCATATTATTAAACCTCGAAACATAATGCGCAACCAATGAAAAACACCCTAAAATATTCGAATGCCACGATTTCCATGAAAACGCCAAACTACGCAACCGATCACATTGCCGAAAATTGTACTCTTGATGCCCACGAACGAAGCGAAAAAAGAAACCGAACACATCGGAAAACACATTCTCTTACATCCTCTCCGCATATATATTCGCTTTGTTTGTGTTACACTCATAGCGCATACCGTACGAAATACGCAAAACTAAATTTCCAAAACTAACAATAACTTGGTTACATGAATCAAGAATTTTCTGCATCAATTCCGCTTTTGGTGGAAATATATCGCACATTTTCCATATGTAAATGCTCAAAAATACTCAGGCACTAAGTCAAAGTGAGTGCGGCAAAAGTAGAGAAAGAGCGCTAAAGTGTAGGAGAGGGGAAACCGATAAACAGAAATCAGCGTGCCACATTCACATTCTATCGTGGTTGGTGGTGCTTATTGTCATTGTTGTTGCTTGTTGTTGCTTGTTGTTGCTGGTGTTGTAGTATGTAGTTCGAGTTGTTGTTATCATTTTATTCTGTTGCGCCATTTGTTTGCTCGTGCGTTCATTCAGGAAACTGAGCAACGAGAAATAGTTGCAAAGTGGAATAAATTCTATACGTGTACAAGTACATTTGTAATCTGTCCCATTGAATGGTAATGATAATGGTTTCAAGAAAAAGAAATTCTATTTCTCTTTCACTGATGCGCTTCTAACCAAATCTTTTCACTCGTTTCTTCGCTCGATGTGTGTGTGTGTACCATTACGAGATTGTACCACTGGTCGACAAAATAATGGAAAATATCGATATTAACGTAAAGTTTTACATTTTTATGGATCGCAACAGAAGCAAAATGTTATTGTCATGCATGCAGAGAGGTAGAGATAGTGCGATGCATATGCATTGCGCCGCCTCTTCGGATGTATACCAACGGAGGGAAGTAATAGCTAACGTAAACTGGTATTTATTTGAATTCGTGATCGAAAGACTTCGACGTTCATTTCTGATTTTGTCAAGTAAAGTTGAAGAAGCTCCAACTTAACTCATTCCATTTCTTTTCAATTCTTTGCCGTGGATGCTGCCCTTTTCTACTGCTTGCATCGTTATGTCTTCTTTTTTCGTTCAGAATGCAACGAACGAACGAACGATGAGGATGATAATGACAACAACAACAATTGAATAGACAAATAGACGTCGTCGGTGGTGTGCAAGTGTAATCAGAGCGAGAATAGCACTAATCTTCTTATGCGACGACAATGTATTCAAAGTATTGGGCAAAAGTTAAACAAGGTTCCCATCACCTCAAGCAAAACGAATCGAAACCGAGCCAACTCTCTCTCTCTCTCTCTCACACACACACACACACATACATAGTTTTTTCTGTCTCACATCCCTTCTTAGCACCATACTCAAGCAAACAACATCGAAAAAGCGACGAAAAGAAGACACAAAACTAACGATTAATTAGCTGTCTTAAATTAAATTATAGTTCTTCGTTTAATTTTCAAACTAAAACATTGTGAACTGAGTGAACACGGGAAAGCTGAGAACTGTGTGTGCCGTATGCTAAGAACAGTGTGTGTAAAGGGCGGCCCAAGATTGGATGCAACTTTTAACAAGGGCAAAATGTGAAATGAATACACGAAAACGTTTAATTTTGTATGCTTTTATTTTGCAATGAGAGCATTTTAATGGACATAGACAGCAAGCTCATTCAACGCCTGTGAACTTTCTTGGTGGTGCAGCAACATCGGCGGTGACGACGTCAATGACAACACATAAAAGCCGCGCATGCACATACACACACATATAAAACGAACAAAATGCGGTGCAAATATATAAGTTTGGTGTTGGTTGAAAATCTCATAAAATCGATGTGATAAATGTTGTAATGTTTGGTGTATATCGAACACAATTCACATAAGCATGAATATTACTTTAACAGAAGCAATCAACTTTATTTTCCAACCATCTTGACTCTTCCGCCCTCTCACATCCACACATATTTCATTCATTTCGCCCTTGCAACAATCTACAAATTAGATTTTATTTGCTCGTTTATTGGAACCATGCATATATTTTCCATTTCAAATCGATGTGGTGTGACTTTGGCACTTGCCACATCAAAGATAAAACTTATTTTAATATTTGAACTATCTTTTTAAGATAATTTATGTGCGTTACCAACAAATTTCATCGATGTGTAATGTGTATACACATTTTTGCATGTGTATGTTTGCAGTTGTATGGAACATTTCATGATGTATGAAAAAATTTATTTGAATTTCACATTTTCGAAAAGTTTTCTCTACATTTCTTCTTGTTTAAAATGATAGATAGAGAAAGAGGTTGAGAAAGAGGCTATTGCTTTGGCAAACGCTCATAGTGTTCTCGAATAGTATATGCGATATGGCGTATGGCGAGAATTGTGCTTTTTCATGCGAATTACTTGTATGGTCTGGTTGGTTTTCAAAAGAATTTACACACGGTACATACCCGTATTTTGTAAACGCTTGCTCAAGATCAAAATTCGCTTTTAATATAGAGTGACGTACTTCGGATACAGAAAAGAGAAAATAAAGAACAAGCCACCTCTCCAACTAAAAAGGGGAAAATGTTTATAAATCCGGAGAAAATCGCATCTATACATGTGCATGAGTAAATAATGTTGCTCTTGCTTGCGAGAATTGTGCATTAGGTAAACAAAACATTTGAAGTACGCTATTCAGAGAAAAGCACTGACGAGTGCGAGAGGGAGAGATGAAACAAAAAAATAAATAATACGATATAGAAGTGAGAGTAAATGCAAAATTGTGAGAATAAATGATTCTCAACTAAATCAAGAGAGCGTTGCGGTGTGTTGCAGTAAGCTGTAATTTTATAGCATATTTTATTTCATTTTCCATTCATTATACGGTCGTTTTTCTTGCATTCTCTGCGTTCAATACCATCGTTTGCCTACGAACCCTGTAAATTCAGGTGTTGGTTTAAGTTCATTTTCTCATTATTTCCCACTCTCTTTTATTTCTCGCATTCACATCCAATTGAAAAATCCACTTACAGCTGCTATTTTGCGAGATGTTACCATATATTTTAAAATAAACAAATTATTACAGCACACAGTAAGTGCTTTTGGCCGATGTATATTAAGGTGGCATGACGTGTCTGTTTTTGGTTATGCTTGTATTTCGTCTGTCACAATTAAATGCATTATAAATTGATTAAAACAGTATTCATTGCGGATAAGCTTCATGCCCATATTCTAGTTCTCTTCTCCCTTCCATTCCATATATCCAATCACAGAAAAGACATCACGCCAAAACAAGCACAGTTGCACACATGCTGATGTGGTGGTAGCCACTTACAAAATGCTCAAACAATCCATTCGGAATTCATTCAGTTCTGTATGGAACCTAACTCATTGCATCGTGATTCGTTTTTCTCATTTATATTCGAAATCAATCTGCCAAAAATGAATGTGAACCCATTAAAAAGTTGGACTGTAGAGAGCACGTTAATTTTCCTTCATTTCAAAATGTTCATTTTTCGATTTTGATGAGTTGCCATTGATTTTGTGTGTTTCGGCATGCTTATAACTGAGACACACCATCGCTCATGGTAATGGTTGTTAATGAAAAAGCATTTCTGCATTAATTGGAAATTAAATCGATTGAAATTGGTTTTGAATTTGCGGTTTGCTGTACGTGTTTTCATAACACGCACATCGCACACATACAAAACACTCGACACTAATTTTATTTATGACATATTCATTTGAAGTTTACGACATTGGATTAGCTATATATCGATAAAATCAACCGAAAAACTTTTCATCATTATGAAAAGACAGAGAAAAAGAGAGAACGAGTGAATGGGATGCCAAATACGAAGAAAGAAAAGGCAGCCGTCGGTGACGATGGGAATAATTTTGTTGAATCTCCGGATACTGGAAAAAATCGATGCCATTAGCAAATACATACTTTACAGTTGAAACGTGAATTCTCAAAGACGTTGTATGGTATTACAAAATAAAATACACCCATCAAGAGATAGACTTTTCATTTCTATGCCATTGCATTCTTCAGTGAACAAAATACCAAATATCGTTCGAGAGTAATTTCGAATTTGATCTCTTTTTCAAAGTTTAATAAAACAAAAATCCGGCACGAAAATGTTCGTAATGAATGAGTGGCACAAAACCACCGACATAAAGTCCAAAGGAATTACAATGAAAGCGATATAGCAAAGAAAAAACAACAACGACAAAACATAATGAAATCGTAATTAAATGTAATTAGAATCAAATAACCATCCAAACCAATGGAAAATCAAACGGACATACACGATCGTCGGACGGACTAGAAAATTTAACGAAAAATACATATACACACAAAATACTAAATGTAGAATAAAATGTTTTTAGATGTGAATTATAATTTACCAATTATTTGATATGTCTGCATATTTTTGTGCTGTATTTCATCATCAAGTTGCAGTGGTGTGTGGGTGAAGATAGAGGGGGATTTAGTTACGCTGTGATGTGTTTAGTATTTTTCGAAACAGACCAACAATGATGAAAAATGTAGATGCGGGTATGCTCCACAAAAGCCAAATGTATTATATCGAATGCTGGTACAATTGCTGCTGCTTCTGTTGTTGTTGCTGCTACTGTTCAACTAAGTGAGTAGCACAACGTGCTTGGTCCATTCCATATGTTACAACTATTCGGTTCGTTTGGTGTATTTATTAGCTGTGTCGTTGCTTGTTTTATCGATGATAGATGATGTTCGGTAAAGTGAGCACCAAACACATACACTATCACCCGTAACTTTTCTGTAGACTCACGTTTATGTCAATTGAATGAATGTTTTCTTTTTCTAATTTCTCTTTTTCGTGTTATTTAATTTCTATGTTTGAAATACGCTAGCGCGCACATTCTTGTTCATTTGTGTTGTTTTTTGTTTTCGGTTTTGATAGAAGGATAATTCAAGTATATCATTAAAATTGTTCAAGTGTATTTTCGAATGTCGTCTAAAAGCTTTTTGTCGATTTGCCGCCCCCGTACGGTCTCTAGCTCTCATATATACATTTACAAAAAAAAGTCCGGTCAATGAATAAGCACTGCAATGAGGTGTCACTGGTCGTCGTTAGCTAATCATTCATTCTGGGTGAATGTTTTAATGTGTCACTACAAACAAGCATTAACAGAGTTTTATTCTTGTATGTGTACGATCTACCACTACAAACTCATATTCTTTTTCACATCAAATGTCTTCTTATTCTTTTTTCTTCTTTTTTTGCTCTCCCTGCTCCCTTTTTTTCTTGTTAAAGTTGCACAATTTATTTTCTTTGCACACACTTAACACTACTAACCTTAACCATACGTTATAATTTATGTTTGAAAACAATGGTTTTTATGATATCGATTTCTCTTACGCTCGAATCAATTTCCCGTTGATAATTTTTTTCTATTTGTTTGTTTTGTCTCTTTCACCGAAAAAAATGCTCGTTGTTTTTCTGCTTCGACAGTTGTTTATATGTTTCTCTTGTTTGATTTTTTTGCTATCGTCGTTTTTCTTACTCCAGACTATTGTTATCTTTATTAATTCGAAAGTTTTTCTCATTGAAGTTCATCAAGCAGACGATTATGCGTTGATGTGCCGCAGACGGTTCTAACCATTCGAATGTTGAATGGCCCTATTTTTTCTCTTCGCATTTCTGTTCTCAAACGTTTTAAGATTAGTTGGTTTTTATTTTCCACTATGCAAACTATTTTTGTTGCCACTATAGTTTAATTTATTCCGGTGCTCAGTCATAATTTAATATTTTGCGATTTTTATTTATTACAAAGCGTGCATTAAACTTCATTTGCATTAATCTTTTCTTTTTTTCAAACGCACATTAAGCAATTCCGCTTCGTTTGGGGATTTTATTCATTGTGCTGCATTTTTTACGTCCATCTGAAAATAGAAAAACCGAAAGACAGAATTAGTAAATTTCGCTAAGCTTAAGAATGCATCTAAATTAGATTCTAAACTCAATTGAATATAAGCAATCAAAGTTTATGCGTGTTTTTATTCCCTATTTTTATTGACCAAAGCCGTAAAGAACGAACTAGAAGAATATAAAAAAGTTTCACGTTATCATTCTATGTTGCCTATTTTGGTGTGTTTATATTGAGTAATGGATTTGATTCACACGTTCACAGTACAAACAAAAAAAAAATTCAAATTGAATTATGGGCTCTATCATCACATGAATTGTATGGATTGAGAGGAGGTTTGTTCATTGCGCGCGAGAACTTGACGCCAAAAAAATAATACACATAATATGTACAGTGCCGTCAGAATATTTGAGACCAAGCTTATTTTTTTCATACAATTTCATATAAATTGACGATTTTTTGGAGCAATATTTAATATATTTCGGAAATAGCTAGACCCATAATTTTTTGTATACTTATTATTTTATTTACGGAGAGTAAACTAGTGAAGTTTTACCAAAAAATATCTACGCGTTTAAAAAATATCCGAGGTTTGCACTTTCAAGTGTGAAAAATGAACTTGAAAGTATAAACATCGGATATTTTTTAAACGCGTAGATATTTTTTGGTAAAACTTCACTAGTTTACTCTCCGTAAATAAAATAATAAGTATACAAAAAATTATGGGTCTAGCTATTTCTGTAATATATTTAATATTGCTCCAAAAAATCGTCAATTTGTATGAAATTGTATGACATTTTTTTGCTTGGTCCCAAACTTTCTGACGGCACTGTATATACCCACTTACCAAACCAAAAGAACCCGACACCGACACCGACACCGAGAGTGAGAGATAGAGATAAAAGAAAAGGGATAGAGTGCAAAAAAAGCAACGTCGCTATATCGGATTATGTTTATCGTGTGGCTTATCTGCGATGTCGTTTTTATTCAGTATGAGTGTGTTTGTGTGTGTGTCTTTGCTTTAAGTGGATGCAGGAATAACCAAAGTGTATTAAAACTTTTCGGAAAGTCAGTAAATTTCCGCTTTTTCTTTCATTTCCGACATTGCATGGCGAAATGCTCTAGAATATATACATATATATTTTGGGAGTTAAGTGCGAAGAAACTGTGCTCACCCCTATCCATAATACACGACTCGGTTCACACCAGTATCAATTGAAAACTACAAAAGAAAAGACACTCGCTTGGTCTAACATCACACACGCAACCATAAAAAGTATACAAGTTTGACAAAAGAGACGAGCGCGTATCTTTGCGATAATAAAATTGACAACAACAAATACTGAACAGTGTCGAGCTCATATAATCGGAAGAGAGAAAGAGAGAGAGAGAGAGAGAGAGAGAGAGAGAAAGTGCACACACGAAACATAGAAACGAAAACTCTACGGAAATGAAGACAGAACAATTTTTGTTTTTGCCGCCACTGTTGCTGTCGAATGAAAATATAAGTAGCAAAACTGTCAACACTTAGCGTGTATCTCTTATTTTTCGTCGTCGAAACTTTGAATAGACAAATGAAATGCGACGGATATTAATGGAAACATACATTTCAATGACATTTGGCATCATGTGATTTTTTTTTTTTTGCATTCGACTCTCTCTTCCTCTCTATATCTCTTTCTAGTGCTGTTTTGTGAACAGATTACTGTCACAACTTGCGAAAAATACAGAATGAAATCAGTGTCTCTTTGTCGTTTGTTTTTTTCCTTTATGTAGAATGACGCATGGAAATGTTAAGCATTCACAAATTGAACAGTGAAAAAAAAAGATGCTTGTGATATTTTAACATCATTGCACTCTTAAATCGAAATATATCGTTGAAGAAACGCATCATTATACATGGATAGGATGAGATTGGAAGTGTGATAGGGAAGTCAACTTGCCTCGCTTTTGCATGTATATGTTATATGGTTTTTATTTATTTATTTATTTTTGTTGCTCCCATCTTGATTCACATGCTTTATTTGACGACTCAGTTGAGTACCAAAATGTAGCGCATCAATTCACATTGAGAGCCAGTGATGCTGAAATTCTTGATAATACACATTCAATTTTTAACAAATGCCACGCATTGCAAGACCATATGAGAATACACATCACATAAATTTTCAGCGATCACTGAACACTTGACACATGCACAGAGAAAAATCACAGAAAAAAGTAGCAGCACACAAACAACAGAAACGCACGCATCCAAATCAGCTCAGTATACTGTTTATGTGTGTATGGGAAGAAAAAAATAACGAAACATTTGGGCTGTGACAACATGGTGAATCAAAATGGGATGAAAATATAATTTATTATTAGCGTGTGTATGATTTCGTTTTTTATGACATGAACAAATCAATTTGACAGATTGATCGACACATTTTCCGTTTAATTCTTCAAATATTCACTAATTTCGTCAATTTTAACATCGAAACAATGGCGGCTCAATTTTATCATTTTTATTCTATTAAATATTTTATTGATATTTCTGAATGTGCAATTTCCTTTTTAAAAAAACGCTTTTACTTCTTTTTATATGTCAATTCTTTCACAATTTCGTGGCATCAAGTGACCATATGGTAAAAAATTAATCCAGTTTTTTTTCGCTTCAAAATCACGAAAAAAATTATGTAGTTGGTGTTATACTCGCTCTTCTTTTCAAACAATCAATCCAATGTATGCGAAAACGCCTTTTACACGTGGATATACACGAAATGTTTAATATTATATTATATTATATTTAATTCAAAATATTACATGTGTAATACTCTAACTATTGATTTGTAGTGTCTATATCTAGTAATAAGAATGGCCGAGAATACTAATTGCAAGTACCTCACACCCAAACTTCATTATGGTTCATAGAGAAAAAATGGCGAATGCGGAGAAAAGAGCTTAAATTTTGTGTGCTTAATGAATTCGATTTGTGTGTGTGCATGGATTTTTCGTTGTGTGCAAAACCTGGGTTGATAATTTCATGAATATTATGTGTGGGCAATAATTCTTTTTACATCTTCGCCACTTGATCACATTTCGGTCTGATAGCCTTCGATGAACAAGAAAAAATGCGTGTAGTCGTGATGATCGTACATGTTTTACAAATAGGCATAATAATAATAATAATAGAAATGATGCGCCCGTATCCAATCTTTCATTCGCGTTGGAATGTACTATTCATTTTTATAATCTTCGTTCTCTCTCTCTCCCTCAGAGAGGGATAGACTCTTGCCAACCGAACGCACACACATACTTAAAATTTATTTGGCATGCGTTTAACATTACCCCCGCAGCAAGTGGCCCAGTTTTCGCATTTATGCGGAATTCCTTTCCATATATATCGACATCGAAATTCATCTCCTTGATTTTATTATCGCATTCGAATACACAATATATCCAGTATTATATATCGACCGAAACTAAAATGCTTTTGATAAGTGATTTCGGTTCTTCTATTCTCATCATTACGGATGGAAGTAAATATGGGCACACACACAAAACCAATATACCGATCAGTAAATTTAATATTATGCAGCGATAATATTACAAACAAATTTCAAGCACCTTCATTCGTTCAACTCGAACGGCGACCGAAAGCGGTGTTGTGTGGCGAGCGATGGATAGAGAGAAGAAAAAAAAAACAAATAACCGCCACCACCATCGCCAGCCCAATACAACCGAGATAACAAATCAAGAAAAACAAAACGCTTATTCAGGCCAATCACACATAAATTCTCGCTTACTCGCACATGATATACATGTATGCGAAGCAAACAAGAATACGAACGAGCATTTAGCGTGCAAACAAAGGGAATGTGGGTGCCGAATAGATAATATATGACCGAACCACAACGGTAAAACCATATAAAATATTTATGTCATTGACTGTTGTATGTATAAATGTGGTTCGGGGCCAAAACACAATAAAAACCAGTCAAAGCATTTCGATAACTGGCAAATACTCCCCAAAAATCTATAGTTTTTTTTTCCTCTTGTAATCGTTTTTTCTCTTTTCTTTTTCTTCTTTGTAAAGTGTTCCCATTTGTTTGTTTCTCGGTCGCGATTCGCATTTGCATTATTGCTGACGATGAGCATGAAAGTGTATACCTGCGGATCGCTGTAAATCCATTTCATTATTAAAATTGGTACACAATGTTTTTAAATCGACGGCATTGTGATACGCGCAAACGCTTTCTCATTTCATTGAATCGTTTCACCAAGGTGTAAAATAATTGAGATTGAATATTTTTTGGTGCATAAAGAATCAAAATCAACTGATCTTTATTGACGTTTAGCTCAGTATATCGTGAAATCTCACACTATTGACTGCTTTTTTTCGCTTCATAGACTTTTCGTCTTTTGAAATAATTTTCGTTCGTTTTCAATATATATTGAATTCGAGAATATTAAGCCTTGTTTCTTATTATTCAAAGACACGAAATGGAGATTTTGTTATAGACGGTTCAATGGAAAGAATAAAATTCTTGAGTCGAATAGTGAACACAATATGAATAAACATGCAAACTTAAAAACACAATGTAACAGACAGAAATAACATTTTTCTATGTGTTTGTGTATGTGTGTGTGTGTGTGAATGCCAAAAACGACGCGAATAAAACCTCAAAGAAAAGTCATATATACATGCATTCAAGATGCGGTAAATTGAAACGTGCTCAGTCTGAGAACAAAAAAATGTATCTTTTTGGAATTAGTGGGAAAACGGTGAGTGCGGAAGACGAATGAAAATAAAATAACAACAAGCACACGTATTCGATTTGTTGCCAACTGTGGAGTATAAACGAAACAAAATGAACAGCGCCACCGAACTAAAATCAAATCAAAAAAAAAAAAAAAACGTCATTGCAAAAAACGATGGAGTGAGACGAAAAGAGGGTGGGGTCAGAAACGAAATAAAAGGCAATAGCATTCGATATATCTTTATAAAGCTTTATGCCAAACATAAGCATACTG